CTTGATGTTAAAGAAAGGAAGCATATTCTTCTCAATTAATTTTAAGACCCTGAGTGTTGGTCCGGCCGGTATTGAACTCTCGACCTCCCGCACAGCAGTCCGGCGCTCTCCCAATTGAGCTAACCAGGCGGCGGTTAGTTGGTGATCATTTCCTTTATTCTCCTAACCTTAATGTGTGATTCGGGGGTGATATTGTAAGGAGAACTTAGATGCTAGTTACTCTTAATGGTCAAAGGCTTAATTAAGAAAAAGGACTGTTGTTTGCATAAGTGAATCTGGCAACAGAGGCGCAACCACAAACACCCACTAAAAACGCATGGTAGTAGTGTCAGATCAGTAGCTTATATTCCTTCTCTCTAAAGGATGGCACACGGTGAAGTAGACATTAGATTTTACGATTGCTGTTAATAACCGTGGATTGACTGCTGACCCAGTTCACTGGATTTTCGATTTTAAATGCAAATAAAAAGTTAACGTATGAAAGGACAGTGAGCAAGGGGTGTAGCCAGGGCGGGTCCTGGGGTGCCCGTGACCCCCCCCCTCCCTCCTTGGTAGGTCTTCTTTAGAGCAATCAACCTACAATATTCAGGTGGCGAAAACGCCATGACAGTATCTTGGCCGTAAAAGCCATTGATATGGGCCTTCATGCCGCGATAATACGACTGAGCCCGCTGATACACGCGGGAGGGCAGCGGTGTAAATGGTGAGTAGCCTCTGTGACCCCCCCCTTTGAAAAATCCTGGCTACGCCCCTGGTGTGTGGTTCACAATACAGATGGAAGAAAATACCAACAGGGCGTATTGGGACTCAGTCGAAGGTGACCACATCCGCCTAATAGAGATGACCGCTTAATACAAGTGAAAATTACAATAACAGGAAACAAATTCGGGACTTCGACAACCGATCGCTTAATACAGGCTGACCACTTACTACGTTGCTGCTTAATTCAGGTTTGACTGTTGTTAAAATTGAATTAATACTGTGTGTGTTATTTCGGTATTAAAACGACCGATTTCACGTTCATAGAAGCACATGATCGCCTTTACTGTTTCTTGCTCCGCGTTGTTAAGGATTTGCTTTATCTCATTTTTGAAATCCTCGTCTGCTCTTATTTTGGCCCTCACCGATTCATTTCTAGTTCCACTTCTATTGTCTTGTTCCGAAGCGAAGATGTTCAATTGTCTTTTATTCAATGCCTCGAAACCAGCTTAAGCTTCCACTCGCTTGCTCCTCTTTGCTTGTTCAGTAATGAAGTTTAGAAACTTTTAGATGTTGATCCATTGGTCCCGTCGGTAGGGCCGCTCTGAATTCACACTGAAATAGCATCTTCTTTATCCTTACAAATTTGGGACAACGACAGACATGAGCCGGAGTTTCTGTCAATTATTGCCCTCATACATTTTCCCTAGCGATTTGCCGGCGATTCTTGGTACGGCAATTCCTCAGAACTAAACAGTTACAGAAAGAAAGGTTTTGTCAGTGGTACTAACGAGGGTTTTCCTGTACTGTGATCTCACAAGCTCGTTCCTGGCCTTCAATTAGAAAAATACCGAGAGCGAAATAGCAAACAGCGCGATATATAGTAGCGGAGGAGGGAAACCTCCCTCGTTTTTTTTTCTTCATTCCTCTGCTGCTGCAGCGCTGTCCGATATTGTGCTTTGTTTTACCAACCAACGGCTAAAACAGACTATGATCTCACTCACAAATTCAGCTGGATTCCAGCTGAGTTCACTCTGTAGCAGCTTGTCATCCCACTGCATTTGTTTGCTTTGATACTAGTACGTGTTGTCAACGAAATACGTGCATCTGGTGGCATCCACGCAGCTTTTGTTTTGACTAAGGTCCGCCATCAGAAGATTCGCCTTCATATGTATACAAGAAAAAAAATATTGATGAAAGTTTTCGGAGTACATAAATATTTGTTGGATCCTTTGGACGGACCTTTGTTGTTTGATCTAAATTGTTGGCTTTGGTTTAAAACAAAATATGCGTCAGAATATGCGGTGGATTTATAAACAACGGATTTCATAGGGGGGAAGGAGCGCATCAAAAGGAAGTAACTTCTAATTAAAGCAGGAAAGAAAAATAGTCCGGAATGAAATTGATGGGGATTACAAACTACATAACTTAATGAATTTGCTCTTATTTGTTAACATACGCAAAAAAAAAATACTTCGTCCTTTACGGTAGATGATCTGTAAACCATTTACTTCCTAGATGTGATGTTCAAATTCTCCCCTGTAGCTACTACACATTTCTTTTGCAAATAGGGTACAAGAATTTGGTGTTAGATCAAGATAACAACTTCTGCCAGATTAGTTTGAGTATTCTCGTTACCTGTTTTGCTGGGAAATGTATGGATATCATAGGGAAAAGTTACATGTTAATCCGACTGATGGCAGTCAAGGGTTAAGACGTGTATGAATAGGAGGAGAAGGGGCCTTTTAACAGCTGAATTTCACTCGAACTTGAGGCGTTCGGCTTGTCACTGATTCACTCAGTTGACGCCGGTCAAGGTACACAATTGTCATTATTAATCTTCCTTTTTACCTTTCATCACCCCCTACTGAATTGCATGATAAGTTTTTTAGAATCTCTGAAAGTATCATGTACTTTAGCAAGTATTCCTGCGCTGTTCTCGCACGGCCATCTTCGGTAGAAACGAAAAATAATTCCAACACCCTGAATGACGACGACCTCGTTGTATTTCAAAATGGCTTCTAGTAACTTGTCGACTGGTACACGTCAGTATATTACACACACATGTGATGAATCTAGGTTCATTTGGTTACCCATGTCGCTCAAAACGCAGCCGCCCCAAGCTACTCTTTGTGAGTTACTTAAGTGCCCTCGGGGTACTCTGTAGGTTGAAGGACCGATAGTCCCAAACATTTGCCAGACGGTACTCGTTCAAGCGCTTGTTGCATCAGATAAGGAGTTAGTATGTTCAAGAATACTATGCAAGGACCTTGGGGCCTTGAAAGCGACGCCATCATTTACTACTACTTTTTGCCATACCTCAGGTTTAGTCTGTCCGGAGTTAGCCTTTAAGCTCCATTCATACAATAGGATCAAATAAAGACGGATTTTTTTTTTTGTCGAGTTTCCAAATTATTGTTAACCATTAAATCACTTCACTGGCTCACCATATTTTTTTCCTTGTATCTCAACTGTTGTAAATGTAGTGAACTCGTCTTAGTTGGCACATGATTAAAAGATGAAAATCTATTGGCTTCTTATCCCCGATCAAATTAATCTCAAACTGTGTGCTTCAGCTTCATGAGTGTAACACGTTGTAGGTTTTCCTCGAATAATCCATTATCACCATCGACCACATTTCGTTTTGTTACAATTTAATTTAGTTCATCTTTTTACAAATACATTATCGAATTTTCTAGACTCCTCGGGACTTTTTTTTTACCACTGTTATGTAAATTTCCGTGTAGCCGCTGCTTCAACAATATTCCATGAATTCACCGATAGTGCAGCCCTCTCTACAACACTCCTCAACAATAGTTGTAGCTGAACGTGCTTTTCGTAGAATTCCAGTGCTTTTAGAATGTATAAAACTTAGAGCCTTCTTTTCTTCCATCAAAGGTGATCCTGAAAATACAAAAAATAAGGAGATCATAGTTGGTGATAGAAATATCAGGCTAGAAAGGAAACAGTAAGATTCTCTTACTACGTTTTGTCTTTCCAGCAAATTCGCCAAAACACAGCGTGTAGTAGACATCTATGATATGATCGCCACAGACATGGCCATCAATTCGGCGAGATCCATCTTCATTCGCCTTAAAAAATCTAGACCCTATTAAGACAAAATTATTTCATGAATTAGAATTGAGCGCTTTTCGATCGACTGCCGTAAATCCGAAATCGTGTTATCGCTCTGACAGATTGGGTGAAAAAGGTAATTAGTAACGTAAGAAGGATGGTAAAAGGCGAAAAATTTCTCACACTCAGATCATATACATTTGCGAGTCTTTGTTACCTGGAACAGCTTCGAGACCTAGAACAATAGCCAGGAGTGGCACAATGATCCAAAGAAACGAATCCTTCATCTGACAAAAAGAACAGAAAGCACAACATTTGCTAAATTACAGGTAGCCCAGTCTAAATCATTGTGTCATTTATAACTCGTTGGACATGCTTAGCGTAGAAACGAGACAATGTGACGACTCGATCGATGTTTAAATATGTCACTCGCTTGCTGGAGTGTGGCTTGTGACGTCATTCCGGTGAAGATCGCTTACTAAGAGTAAGAATGTCAAAGGTTCCTTATCTGAATACGACATACTTCGCTAACATGTTTTCTTTTTTTAAGCACCAAATGATATGAAAAACCAAAATATGATTAGAAAAATATTTTTCAGTGACGCGAAAACAGCGAAGTGACGGGTAAATTGTATATCTAGTACGGAATGACTAGCTAGGCTTTGGTTCAAGACCATTTCTCACTCGAACGGTTAATTGAAGATGAATGCTGAAACTGCAAAAAGGTTATGTTGCCATATATATATATATATATATATAACTGCAGACAGAGTGCACAGTGTTTCGACCTATGTGGGTCTCGTCAGTGCAGTGCAGAAGGTCTCTGACCGAAACGTCTTTTATTAAAATTTTTTATATTTTTGACGTCAGAAGTTGTCAATCCTCGCAATTTTTAAACTTTCTATATATATATATATAGAAAGTTTAAAAATTGCGAGGATTGACAACTTCTGACGTCAAAAATATAAAAAATTTTAATAAAAGACGTTTCGGTCAGAGACCTTCTGCACTGCACTGACGAGACCCACATAGGTCGAAACACTGTGCACTCTGTCTGCAGTTATATATATATATATATATATATGGCAACATAACCTTTTTGCAGTTTCAGCATTCATCTTCAATTAACCGTTCGAGTGAGAAATGGTCTTGAACCAAAGCCTAGCTAGTCATTCCGTACTAGATATACAATTTACCCGTCACTTCGCTGTTTTCGCGTCACTGAAAAATATTTTTCTAATCATATTTTGGTTTTTCATATCATTTGGTGCTTAAAAAAAGAAAACATGTTAGCGAAGTATGTCGTATTCAGATAAGGAACCTTTGACATTCTTACTCTTAGTAAGCGATCTTCACCGGAATGACGTCACAAGCCACACTCCAGCAAGCGAGTGACATATTTAAACATCGATCGAGTCGTCACATTGTCTCGTTTCTACGCTAAGCATGTCCAACGAGTTATAAATGACACAATGATTTAGACTGGGCTACCTGTAATTTAGCAAATGTTGTGCTTTCTGTTCTTTTTGTCAGATGAAGGATTCGTTTCTTTGGATCATTGTGCCACTCCTGGCTATTGTTCTAGGTCTCGAAGCTGTTCCAGGTAACAAAGACTCGCAAATGTATATGATCTGAGTGTGAGAAATTTTTCGCCTTTTACCATCCTTCTTACGTTACTAATTACCTTTTTCACCCAATCTGTCAGAGCGATAACACGATTTCGGATTTACGGCAGTCGATCGAAAAGCGCTCAATTCTAATTCATGAAATAATTTTGTCTTAATAGGGTCTAGATTTTTTAAGGCGAATGAAGATGGATCTCGCCGAATTGATGGCCATGTCTG